TGGACATAGAGCTTCACCGCCATCCTCCTGCATGTCCTCTGTGTCTGCTGAGCCCATTTTTTTTTTCAGCAGGTTCATCCCAGCAACCGGGGAGGGAAACTTTTTTTTTCTGTCATTTTCCCACCGAGGAAAGAGTGGCTCATTTTTTTTAAGTTCCTTACCTGAGGTCACACAGCCAGTGCAATTTTTTTCATCATGATTTGCACCCAGGTAGTTGAGCCCATGCTCATTCCAGGTTCAAATCCCTACTCCACCCACCTGCAGACCCTCAATTAGGTTACCTTGGTGATCTCAGCCTCAGGTGCTGCCTCTGGAAAAGAGCCTGTTGGCACCAGTTCACAAACCCATTGAATTTTTTTAATAAAATAGTGCATCTAGGCAGGTCGTGGTGGCTTTTTTTTGTAATCCCAACTACTCACCTGTAATCCCAACTACTTTTTTTTAATCCCAACTACTCAGGAGGCTGAGGCATGAGAATTTTTTTTATCTGGGAGGTAGAGGTTGCAGCTAGCCAAGATCATTTTTTTGCACTCCAATCTGGGTGACAGAGTGAGACTCTGTCTTTTTTTAGAAGAAAAAAATAAAAGAGCCAGGCACGGTGGCTCATGCCTGTAATTCCAGCACTTTGGGAGGCCAAGGTGGGTGGATCACTTGAGGTCAGGAGTTCAAGACCAGCCTGAACAACGTGTTTTTTTCCCATCTCTACTAAAAAAATACAAAATTAGCCGGGTTTTTTTACTCACACCTGTAATCCCAGGTACTTGGGAAACTGTTTTTTTAGAATTGCTTGAACCCAGGAGGTGGAGGTTGAAGTTTTTTTTGATCATGTCATTGCATACCAGCCTGGGCAATAAGATTTTTTTTCCATCAGAAAAGAAAAAAAAAGACAGAAAAGAGATTTTTTTAAGGAAAGAAGGAAGCAAGGAGGGAGGGAGGGAGGTTTTTTTAGAGGGAGGGAAAGAAGGAAGGAAAAGAAGGAGTGTTTTTTTGGTGTTAAGCACAAGTACTGGGCATAGTGGCCTATTTTTTTTATCCCAGCAACTCAGGAGGCTGAGGCAGGAGGATCTTTTTTTCCCAGGAGTTTGAGACCAGCCTGGGCAACATAGCATTTTTTTCCTCTTCTCTACAATTTTTTTTTTTTTTTTTTTGATTTTTTTTCTCAGTCTCTCACCCAGGCTGGAGTGCAGTGGTGTTTTTTTCACTCGCTGCAACCTCCGCCTCCCAAGTAGTGAGATTACAAGTGTGTACCACCAAGATTACCAAGCGATTCTCCTGCTTTTTTTTCCTGAGTAGGTGAGATTACAGGCGCATGCCACCATTTTTTTCTCATTTTTGTATTTTTAGTAGAGATGGGGTTTCATTTTTTTGGCCAGGCTGGTCTTGAATACCTGACCTCAGGTGATTTTTTTACCTCAGCCTCCCAAAGTGCTGGGATTACAGGCGTTTTTTTTTGCACCCGGCTTGCAAAATATTTTCTAAAAGTTAGTTTTTTTTGGTGGCATGTGCCTCTCCTCCTAGCTACTCAGGATTTTTTTGCAGGAGGATTGCTTGATCCCAGGAGTTCGAGGCTTTTTTTTGCTATGATTGCACTACTGCACTCCAACCTGGGCAATTTTTTTAGACCTTCTCTGTTAAAAAAAAAAAAAAAAGAAGGTTTTTTTTAGCATGGCGCCTGGCATATAGGAAACATTTAATTTTTTTTTTTTTCAAAAGTCTGTGCTTTCAGGAAAAAAAAAAATTTTTTTCTCATAAAAAAGTGGCCTAAGGATGTGAATAGGCATTTTTTTAAAGAAGATATACAAATGGCCAACAAACTTATGAATTTTTTTTCAACATCACTAATGATCAGGGAAATGCAAATCAAAACACAATCGATACCACCTCACTCCTGCAAGAATGGCCGTAATCAAAAAATCAAAAAATAATAGATGTCGGTATGGATGCAGGAACACTTTTACACTGCTGGTGCAGACATAAACTAATACAACCACTATGGAAAACAGTGTGGAGATTCCTTAAAGAACTAAAAGTAGATCTACCATTTGATCCAGCAATCCCACTACTAGGCATCTACCCAGAGGAAAAGAAGTCATTATACGAGAAAAATACTTGCTCACGCATGTTTATAGCAGCACAGTTCACAATTTCAAAAATGTAGAACCAGCCCAAATGCCCATCAATCAATGTGTAGGTAAAGAAACTGTGGTATAGGTATATGAAGGAATACTACTCAGCCATAAAAAGGAATGAATTAATGGAATTCGCATCAACCTGGATGGGATTTTTTTTTATTATTCTAAGTAAAGTAACTCAGGAATGAAAAAATTTTTTTTGTATGTTCTCACTGATAAGTGGTAGCTAAGCTGTGAGGATGCAAAGGCATAAGAATGATACAGTGGACTTTGGGGACTCTGGGGGAAAGGGTGGGAAGGGGGTGAGGGATAAAAGACTACAAGTTGGGTTCAGCGTATACTGCCCAGGTGATGGGTGTGTGAAAATCTCGCAAATCACTGCTGAAGAACTTATTCATGTAATTTTTTTTGTTCACCAAAAACCTATGGAACTAATTTTTTTGTTTTTAAGGCTGTGCTTTCTCCTGCACAGGTGATCCCATAATAATCACCAGCTTCACTGACCCTTCTATAACATCATCTGCTTTCTTTTTTTTACTTGGGCCTCCATGCAGGATGGAGGACAACCCAGTTTTTTTTTGCATGTGAGCACATTGAGGTTCGGAGTTGGGGATTTTTTTAGAGGTCGTTCCTGACCCTTAGTCTCTTCTTTATGCAAACTCCTTTCTGCTGCTGTTAAAACAGTAGGAGGGGCCAGGGACAGTGGCTCACGCCTATAATCCCAGCACTTTGGCAGGCTGAGGCAGGTAGATCACCTGAGTTCAGGAGTTCGAGACCAACCTGGCCAACATGGTGAAACCCCATCTCTACTAAAAATACAAAAATTATCTGGGCATGGTGGCGGGCGCCTGTAATCCCAGCCACTTGGGAGGCTGAGGCAGGAGAACCACTTGAACCCAGGAGGCAGAGATTGCAATGAGCCGAGATTGCACCATTGCACTCCAGCCTGTTTTTTTAGAGCGAAACTCCATCTCAAAAACAAACAAAAACAGTAGGAGGCAGCTTTGGGGGCTAGGTCTCTCTCAAATGCAGTAACATCCAAGTGGCACCTTTACTTAAATTTTAGGAGCTGAGATTTTTTTTGTATCAATGGACGGGACTCCAGGGGTCCTTGATCTTTTTTTAGACACAGGTGACACTTTGCCTGTGTGTGCATATGTTCCATAAGAGGAGGTCCACATGGCCCTTAGTAAGCGTAGGCTTTTTTTCTTATTAGAAGAAAACTACCTCCTTTTTCCTTCAGTTTTTTTCTTCCCAGAACATTGCTAATTCCCTCTTCCTATTCCACCTTTGGTTTGGATTCATAGAGAATTAAACTGGAATCTATTTTTTTTTGGAGTAAAAAGAGCTACCGGGTGGATTAATCACATTTTTTTGAGCAGTTGGTTGGTTGGAGGTGGTTTCTAGCGTCTTTTTTTTTGACCGCTCCTGGAATAATGGGTGGATGGAGATGTTTTTTTTTCGTCCACTCTCTGGAAATGTGCGTCGTAACAGTGCGTGGGGCACCGAGCTGTGTCTGGAGACAGTGTGTATGAGCTTTTTTTGAAACCACAGGGAAGGTTGCACTGGGAAAGTTATGTTTTTTTCTTATTCCAGCAATGTAGCCACTCCAGTCCAAGAATTTTTTTGAGCTGTTGAGAATCAACAGCAGAGGGGTCTGCCTTTTTTTTCCAGGATACATAGGCAGGAACATGCCCCTCTTTGCTTTTTTTTCAGACATTTCCTAGGATTGCTCTAAGGCTGTGAATTTTTTTGGAAACAGCAAACTGAGGATTTCCAATTTGTCTTCTTTTTTTCTAGACAGGAATGAGGCTGAAGAAGGAGAAATGGGTTTTTTTTGTGAAGGGCTTTGAGAATTAGGTGTATAAGTTTGTTTTTTTTTCTACACTGTGGTGCTCCATGGAACGGTCAGTCCAGGGCAGTGGGCTAGAGGTCTGTCCTAGAAAAAGTGAAAGCATTTTTTTGCAACCTCTAGATCTGAATCTTCTGCTGGGTTATATTTTTTTAATAATCAGTCCTATTGCTTAGCAAGCTTCAAATATTTTTTTGTACCAGACTGAATGTTTGCATTTAAAAATGTGACTTTTTTTTATAATTCCAGTGTTTTGGGAGCCCAAGGCAGGAGTTTTTTTTGAGGTGAGGAGTTCAGGACTAGCCTGAGCCAAATTTTTTTTTTCTGTCTCTATAAAAAAAATTTTTTTTTTAATTATTTTTTTATAGTGACACCTGCCTGGGGTGCTAGCTACTCAGGAGGCTGAGGCAGGAGGATCACTTGAGCCCAGGAGTTCAAAGTTTTTTTTAGCTATGATCACCCTACTGTACTCCAGCCTAGGCATTTTTTTAAAAATTAAAATTAAAAATTTGATTTAATTTTTAATTTTTTTTCCATTTTCAAATGAAGACCCATGCCCTTGAGGTTTTTTTTTCTCTCTGTGCTTTAGTTCTTAACAGCATTTTATGTTTTTTTTTTCTTACAACTCTTTAAGGTAGATACTAAGATATATTTTTTTTACAGATGAGGAAAGGGAAACTGAAAGAGTTTAAATTTTTTTCCTGGAGTTGGACAGCTCCCACACAGGATTTGACCAGGGATTTGAATGTGTGCCATCCAGCTCTAGTCTGCTGCAAATTTTTTTGCTCTCTTGCCTTTCTAGATAGTTTTTCAAGCAGATTTTTTTCATTCTGCCACCTTCTCCGTGACCACCGCTTGGGTCTCAGTGGAATGGAAAGGTTCCAATGCCCTTCCCTTCACCTTTTTTTTTACTTCCTTCAAAACGTTGACAGAGTGAAAAGCTGCCAGTCAGGGTACATTCTGGAAGGTTCTGCCACGTCCACCTTTTTTTTTTCAGATCTCTTGCTTTGTCTTAGGAGAAGAGGTCGGTTTTTTTCATCTTGTGGATCTTGGCCTTTCTGGCGGGGAACATTTTTTTTGTGCTTTATACATTCAGCTCCCAGCAGCTGTACATTTTTTTAGCATGGGAATCCAACCCCCACGGTGGGAGAGTGGTTTTTTTGGCTGGGCTTGGGGCATGTACCCTTTCACTTGAGATTTTTTTCACAAGCTCTGAGTCATGTTATAAATTCCAAATTCTTTTTTTCTATTACTCCTCATGCATATCTAAACCAGCACTCAATAATAGAAATTCAAGGTAAGCCACATAGGTAAATTAACATCTTTTTTTTACGGAAAACTAAACAGAAACAGATGGAATCAATTTTTTTTTTTGATTTTATTTAACCCAGTATATCAAAAATATTTTTTTTTTGTTTGTTTGTTTGTTTGTTTTGAGACAGGATCTCATTTTTTTACCCAGACTGGCAGTAGTGTGATCACGGCTCACTGTTTTTTTGACCTCCCTGGGCTCAGGTGATCCTCCCACCTCAGTTTTTTTAGTAACTGGTACTACAGGTGCATGCCACCACACCTTTTTTTTTTTTATAGTTTTTGTAGAGACGGAATTTCCCTTTGTTTTTTTGGCTGGTCTCGGACCTCTGAGCTCAAGCAATCCACTTTTTTTGGCCTCCCAAAGTGCTGGGATCATTACAGGCGTGGTTTTTTTCACCTGGCCCCAAAAGATTGTCATTTCAACATGCATTTTTTTTAAAAATTATAAATGAGATATTTTACGTTTTTTTTTTTTTTTAGACAGAGTCTCGCTGTTTCCCAGCCTGGAGTGCATTTTTTTGGTCTCGGCTCACTGCAACCTCCGCCTCCTGGGTTTTTTTTTTTCTCCTGCCTCAGCCTCCTGAGTAGCTGGGATCATTTTTTTGTGCCACCCCGCCCAGTGAATTTTTGTATTTTTAGTTTTTTTAGGGTTTCACCATATTGGTCAAGCTGGTCTCAAACTCCTGACCTCGTGATCCGCCCGCCTCGGCCTCCCAAAGTGCTTTTTTTTCAGGCGTGAGCCACTGCGCCTGGTTTTACATTCTTTTTTTTTATTAAGTCTTTGTAATCTGGTATCTTACACATACATTTTTTTTCAGTTCCAACCAACCACATTTCAAGTATTCAAAATTTTTTTTGAACACTGTATGAATAGTGCAGGTCTGGAATATTTTTTTTTGGACAACCAAGAAACTCGAAATAATAATTGCCTCTTTTTTTTCACTGGAGATCAGAAACCTACTTTGCGCAGTTTGGTTTTTTTTTTTTTTTTTTTTGAGATGGAGTTTCACTCTGTTGTTTTTTTTGGGGTGCAGTGGCGCAATCTCAGCTCACTGCAATTTTTTTTTTAAGCAGTTCTCCTGCCTCAGCCTCCTGAGTAGCTTTTTTTACAGGCACGTGCCACCCCGCCCAGTGAATTTTTGTTTTTTTTGTAGAGACAGGGTTTCACCATATTGGTCAAGCTGGTTTTTTTCTCCTGACCTCGTGATCCGCCGACCTCGGCCTCCCTTTTTTTTGGGATTACAGGCGTGAGCCACTGCGCCTGGCCCATTTTTTTCTTTTATATTACAGTCATGTGTCACGTAATGATGTTTCCATCAACGATGGACCATATAGACAGCAGTGGTCCCATAATTTTTTTATGGAGCTGGAAAATTCTATTGCCTAGTGATACTACAGCCATCATAATGCTGTAGCACAGTGCCTTATGTATTTGTGTTTTTTTTGGGGTAAACCTATTGTCCTGCCAGTCATATAAAATTTTTTTGCATGCAATTTATGTACAGTACCTAATGCTTGATATTTTTTTTAAAAGACTATGTTACTGGTTTATATGTTTACTATACTTTTCATTGTCATTTTCTTTTCTTTTTCTCTTTTTTTTTTGAAACCGAGTTTTGCTCTTATCGCCCAGGCTGCAGTGGCATGTTTTTTTCTCATTGCAACCTCCATCTCCCAGGTTCAAGTGATTTTTTTTCCTCAGCCTCCCAAATAACTGGGATTACAGGCATTTTTTTTTATGCCTGGTTAATTTTTGTATTTTTAGTAGAGACAGGATTTCGCCATGTTGGCCAGGCTGGTCTCAAGCTCCTGATCTTTTTTTATCTACCTGCCTCAACCTCCCAAAGTGCTGAGATTTTTTTTTTGAGCCACAGTGCCTGGCCCATTGTCATTTTAGAGTTTTTTTTTTCTACTTATAAAACATAAAAGTTGGCTGGGCATTTTTTTTCACACCTGCAATCCCAGCACTTTGAGAGGCCAAGGTTTTTTTATCATGAGGTCAGGAGTTCAAGATCAGCCTGGCCATTTTTTTGAAACCCCCATCTGTACTAAAAATACAAAACTTAGCCAGGTGTGGCGGCGGACGCCTGTAATCCCAGCTACTCGGGAGGCTAAGCCAGAGAATTGCTTGAACCCGGGAGGCAGAGGTTGCAGTGAGTCGTCATTGCGCCACTGCACTCCAGACAGAGTGAGACTGTGTCTCAGAGTTAACTATAAGGCAGCCTTAGGCAGTGCCTTTCAGAAGAATTCATTGCCGTCATAGGAGATGACAGCGCCATGGATGTTATTGCCCCTGAAGATCTTCCAGTGGGACAAGATGTGGAGGTGGAAGACAGTGATATTGATGATTCTGACTCCATTTAGGGTGAGGCTAAGGTGTATGTTTGTGTCTTAAGTTTTAACAAAAAATTTAAAAAATTGGAAAAACCTAATAGAATAAGGATATTTTTTTATAAAATATTTTTGTACAGCTGTACAATCTGTTTTTTTTTTTGTGTTATTATAAAATACTCAAAAAATAAAAACAGTGTACAAAGTAAAAATGTTACAGTAAGCTAAGGTCAATTTATGTTTTTTTAAATAAACATTTTAAAATAAATGTAACGGCCGGGCTTTTTTTCTGACGCCTGTAATCCCAGCACTTCAGGAGGCCAATTTTTTTAGATCACTTGAGGTCAGGAGTTTGAGACCAGCCTGTTTTTTTTGGTGAAACACCATCTCTACTTAAAAAAATACCAATTTTTTTCAGGTGTGGTGTCAGGAGCCTATAATCCCAGCTACTTTTTTTGCTGAGGCAGGAGAATCATTTGAACCCGGGAGGTGTTTTTTTCAGTAAGCCAAGATCACGCCACTGCATCCAGTCTGTTTTTTTGAATGAGACTCTTATCTCAAAATAAAATAAAATAATTTTTTTTAAAAGTAGTGTAGCCTACATGTACAGTGTCTGTATTTTTTTCAGCAGTGTATAGTCATGTCTTAGGCCTTCACATTTTTTTTTTACTCTTTCATTGACTCACCCAGAGCAACTCCCAGTCCTGCAAGCTCCAGTGATAGTAAGTGTCCTATATGGGTGTATTTTTTTTCATCCTTTATACGGTATTTTTACTGTGCCGTTTCTTTTTTTATATACAAATACCATTGTGTTATAATTGCCTATAGTTTTTTTTACAGTAACATGTTATATAGGTTTGTAACCTAAGATTTTTTTGCTATATCATATAGCCTAGATGTAGTAGGCTATGCTTTTTTTTTTTATGTAAGTCAACTCTATAGTGTTCACACAAGGACCAAATCACCTAAGAATGTGTTTCTCAGAACAGTGTCCCATTTTTTTAGTGATGTATGACTGTATTTTATTTTTTCCCCCATTTTTTTTATGTAAGAGCTTTTAAAAGTGATTTTAATGTATGTTTTTTTTTTTTTTTTTTTTTTTTGGGACAAGGTCTTGCTGTGTTTTTTTGGCTGGAGTGCAGTGGGTGGATCATACTTACTGAAACCTCAACCTCCCAGCCTCAAGCAATCTTCCCACCTTAGACTTTTTTTTAGCTGAGACTTCAGGCGCATGATACCATGCTCAGCTTTTTTTTTTTATTTTTAGTAGAGACGGGGTTTCTCCATGTTTTTTTTTCTGGTCTTGAACTCCTTGCCTCAAGTGATCCACCCTTTTTTTCCTTCCAAATGGCTCATAGGTGTGAGCCTTTGTGATTTTTTTTTTCTTTTTTCATTCGTTCGTTAACTGATTCATTTTTTTTTTTACTTTTTAAAAAAGTCCTTAAAGATACTCACTAGTTTTTTTGTTGGCAGACTACAGCCATTCACCCATTTTGATTATTTTTTTTTTGCTAAAACACAGCTACACCCATCCATTTACGTTTTTTTTATGAGTTCATCTGTGTTCCGGCAGAGTTGAACAGTTTTTTTTGAGACCATATAGCTTACAAAGCCAAAACTATTTACTTTTTTTTTTTAAAGGAAAAGCTTGCTGACTCCTGGCCTAAATTTTTTTAACAGTGGTCCTCTAGATGTTAAATATGTGGATAGTTTTTTTGCGTTGGCACACACCTGTAATCCCAGCACTTTGGGTTTTTTTGATGGGCAGATACTTTGAACCCAGGAGTTCGAGACCAGCCTGGGCAACATGGTGAAACCCCATCTCTACAACAAATGTTTTTTTTAGCCAGGCATGGTGGCGTGCACCTATAGTCCCAGTTTTTTTGGAGACGAGGGTGGGAGGATCACATGAGCCCAGGATTTTTTTGCTGCAGTGAGCCATAATCGCACCACTGCATTCCATTTTTTTTGACAGAGTGAGATCCTATCGTTAAAAAAAAAAAATTTTTTTTGTGTGAGCAATTTTATTTTTTTCTTTAGAATTATTTTTTTTAAAAAAATTTTTAATGGATACTTTTTTTAACATAGTTTTTTTAGTGCTTTTTAAATAATGTTAAGTGATAAAAATGTTTTTTTTATCTGGGTTGAGCTGTGCAGAGACAAGGTAACAGGGCTCCTTGCTCCTACACCCCAAATACATGTCCCATGATGTGGTTTTTTTCTTCTGTGACATTGACTCACAGTTCTATGCAATGTTTTTTTTCAAGTGGGGAGGGAGAGCACAGGAAATTGAATGGATTTTTTTGCCCCGACTTATCAGCTTCCTTAAAATATCCCTGTTTTTTTTACAGCCCATTCTGGGCTCACTGCAAGCTCCGCCTCTTTTTTTCACGCCATTCTCCAGCCTCAGCCTCCCAAGTAGCTTTTTTTTCAGGCGCCTGCTGCCATGCCCGGTTAATTTTTCTATT